AGAGAGAGAGAGAGAGAAGGAGAGAGGGAGAGAGAAGCTCTTTTAATTAACCCATGGAGAAACTGTTTTAGATAGCCTATGGATGTAACTTATCAAATTCTATTCCTTCAAATTTCAGGGCCTTAGAGGTACCAGCTGGATATTTAAAAGTCCTGAGGATTAAAAAAAAAACAGAAGAGACACAGATACTGCCACTACTAATATACCCCTACGAGCAGTGTAAGGGCAGATCAAAGAAGAGGTGGGTCCTGAGAAGAGAGGTGGGACTTGCATCAGTCTGACCACTCATAATCTCACTGCCCTCTTCACCGCTTGGCCAGGGGTCCATATCCCCCACTCCTACACCACCTATTCTACTATACAGCCTTTCCATGCAGTAGAGCCTCTAATGTGTAAAGACACGATGAAACTTGCCTTAGGGGAAAACACTGGTCACTCTGCCTTGGGATATGACCTGTGCTACCACTGAACCCCCATATTAAGTAATATTTCCACAAACGGGATAGAAATACACTTTTAAAAAGGAAGAAATAGGTGTTATACTGGCCTATCCAACCCTTAAATTAATTTATATATAAACATTTTGCTTAGTTGCCTTTTACAGAGATACAAAATTTTTATAGTTTCCCCTTGAACAACGTAGGGGACGCCGACCCTTCGTTCATCAAAAATCCTCCCTAGGTATCCAAGGTTTCATTCCTCCGTGTCCTCGGATTCAACCAACCATAGTCATGTAGTACTACAGTATTCACTATTGAAGAAAACAAGTATAAGGGGACCTCCACAGTTCAAACCAGCATTGTTCAGGGTCAACTGTATTTATAATTTTGCTATGGTCTGCATGTTTGTGTCCCTACAAAATTCCTAAGCTGATGGTATTAGGAAGTGGGGCCTTTGGGAGGTGATTAGGTCACAGGATGGAGCCTTCATAAATGAGATTAGTGCCCTTATAAAAGAGACCTCAGAGAGCCAGCTCACCCCTTCCACCACATGAGGAAGCAGAGAGAAGTCTGCAGCCTGGAAGAGGACCCCCACCCAGCCAGGCTGGCACCCTGACCTCAGACTTCCAGACTCCAGAACTGTGAGAAATAAGTTTTTTTGTTTATAAGCCACCTGGTCTATGGTATTTTGTTCTAGCAGCACAGACACGCCAAGACAATTTTTTTTTTTTCCTCCCCCGTACGCGGGCCCCTCACCGCTGCGGCCTCTCCCGTTGCGGAGCACAGGCTCCGGACGTGCAGGCCCCGTGGCCATGGCCCATGGGCCCAGCCGCTCCACGGCACATGGGATCCTCCCGGACCCGGGCATGAACCCGCGTCCCCTGCATCAGCAGGCGGACTCTCAACCACTGCGCCACCAGGGAAGCCCCCTATATATTTTTTATAACTTGGAAAATATAATTATTACTTGAATCAAATATTCCTTCTACAGAACTACTCTCCCCATCTTCTTTCAACAGTGATGATGGTTGCTGTATGAATCCTTTCTTGGTAATAGCCTATCAACTAAATTATCCAGGCTTTTCCCAGTGCCTTAACTTTACCCACATGGGGAGGCAAAGCCATTTACCCGCAAACATACTCATCCCTTCCATCCCTAAAAGTAACCAAAGTATTACCCAAAGACGAATAAATCGATGAAAAAAGAATCCTTTTTATCCAATTCTTCCTACAGAATAACTGGGTTCCAACACTCTATTCCCTCAATTAGGACACGATCTACGGAAGATGTGTGACTTAGAGCAGCGCTTCTCAAACCTGAATGTGCACACAGATCACCTGTGGACCTTGTGAAAATGCATACTCTGATCTAGTAGGTCTGGGGTGGGGCCTGAGATTCTGCATTTCTAAGAGGCTTCTAACTGACGCTGATGCTTCAGGTCCAGAAACCAGACTTTGAGTGACGAAGTGGCAGAAGGCAGGCAGACAGGCCCTCGGGTGGAGGGGATGTGAAAGGAAGGAGCACAAACGACTGGCTGCAACCCAGGCCCCGGGGTTGGAAGGGTAGGAGAACAGCCCCGGTGGCGAGGCCTAGCTGAGTGAGACCTCGTGAAAGGGGTAGGAGGCAAAGCTGGAAATGTGGGAGATCGTGGGATTAAAGTGGTTTGAATTTCACAACTAAGGGAAAGGGTAAAAAATTCAAAGCGAGAGAAAAACATGAGGTCAAAGTTGGAAGAACTCACAGAACTCTGAAACCCAGGCAACACATTTGCCAAAACTATAGTCAAGGAATGTAACACAGTGGCTCCCTTGGAAGTCTAGTGAAATCTGACTCAGACATGTCATCAAGTGCCAAACCAAGCCACAGCACGGTATTTAAGCTTCCCAGTGGCTTGAAGAGCTGGATCTGCTCTTGCAGCTTCACCTGAAACGCAGTACAAGTGAAATTTCACAAGAGTGGGAAAACCGACCTAAAATGGGGCAGCGAGTAAAAACCCTTTCCACCTGCTAACACCAAAGTGGCAGCCACAGCAGCATCTCTGCTGGGAGCGATGTGGGCCGAAGGCAGATCAAAGAGGGACACCCACACACTGCTGCTGGCCCAGCCCAGATGAATTTGCCGAAACAGGACATGACACATCCCTCTTATACGGGACAAACTAGGTTTGGCTGCACAAAAAAAAACATAAAGCGTCCCACCCTGAAAATGTGATGAGCTGGGAGGAGAAAAACTACCCCCCAAAATCCCCAAAACTGGGAAGTTTTTTTGTTTTGTTTTGTTTTGTTTTGCGGTATGCAGGCCTCTCACCGCCGCAGCCCCTCCCGTCGCGGAGCACAGGCTC